GGCTGGTACTGGTTCGAGCATAACGTTGCGTGGGTAGTCAGGTGACACTCACAGGCAGTACCAGAATAATAATATTCGCTTATTGTTGTGCGATTTATAACTTTAGATTGACAACCCATCCATTTTTTCAAACCAAATTTACAGTGCTCATTGTAGCCGACATTTACTACGTAGTATTGCTGTAACAGTTGTACTACCATCGAAGTTACGGATAGTTTGGGGATGTATCCGGGTGTTTTTGTCCCCATTTCGCTCGGACGTCCCAATATCTGAATATTTTGGGGACATCCCCATAATTTGGGGACAAAACTGCCCGGATGAGACCCTAATTATCCGTACTGTAACATGAAGTAACGGTGCAACCGAAGTTTTGAGATATAGAGTTGGGATAGGGACCCGCGTTGGAGATGCTACCAGGGATTTGCCACTTCACACAGTACTAACTACTACAGTACGTATTATTAATAGTATTAATCTATATATATAAAAGAACAAGTGTGTCTCTCTGTCTGTTGTTTGTCACGTGTGTGTGTTCCAGCAATTTGATTGACCAAAATAACGACTTTCTTAACTCTGATTCGTTCATCTTGCATTTTTAACGTTTTTGATTGGCTCGAACCAAGTAATTTAATTTTGACCAATCACATAATTATTTCTTAACCCAATCAGCCTTAAGTCTGCTCGAATTTCCGCGTCCCGGCAAAGATCGAAATCGGCCATACCACGGCGTGGCTGGCGGCGATTGCACCGGGTATCCGCGCTACTGAGCGGTCTGACGCAAATATAGTGCGCGATTGTAGCGCTGTAATAGACGAATATGCGCATGTAACTAATCTTGATGTATGTACTATACAGTACAAGAGAAGATATGAGCAATTGGGCAAGCCATGCAGTGACAGCGACGCGAATGCACTGCATTTCCACGCTACTTAGCGGATTGGCAAACTTAGTGCGCGTTTGTAGCGCAACAATGTAGGAGCATAAGCATGTATCTACATATGTTTACCGTATCAAGAAGACAGTCGTGGAATAATCTCAGTCACTCCAGCAATTTGATTGGCCATAATATCGCCTTTCTCAACTCTGATTCGTTCATATTAGATATCGACGTTTTAAGGTCAAATGTATACCTACGACAACCGAGACGTCGCGCCGTACTCTCCAATCCTTTGCAAAATCTTCGACGCGCACATCAACGTCGAGTTTTGCTATTCCGTCAAGGCCATCAAGTACATTTTCAAGTACATCTACAAAGGAAGCGATCAAGCCGTCTTTGAGACCTCCAACAACTCCAACAATGCGGCAGTGGAGAAGGATGAAATCAACCAATACCACGTCGGGCGGTACATCAACAGCAACGAGGAGGTGTCGAGAATTCTTGGATTCTCCATACATGACCGCTAGTCCAATTGGGGTGCATCTTGAAAACGGAGAGCGAGTGTACTTGACACCAGAGTCGGTCAACCGCGCAATTGGCCAACGGCGTAATACAACTTTGACCGCGTTTTTCAAATTGAATCAAGAGGACGAGTTTGCTCGAACCTTGCTGTATACCGAAATTCCTGCGTACTACACGTGGCAAGTGCCGGACAAGAAATGGAAGCGTCGCCGGCGTGGCCAAGCTGTCGACAATTGGCCTGGGATCAAAGTTACCGACACATTAGGGCGTGTGTATTCTGTCCATCCTGCCTATCAAGAGTGTATTTACTTGCGACTTTTGCAGAACAATGTCCGAAGTTCCACTTCACGTCGCTCCGAACTGTGGATGAAGTTGAATGCCCTACTTACAAACAAGCATGCCTACTCCAGGGCTTTCTTGAGGAAGAAAATTACCTCATCCACCTTATGCACGAAGTCCCCCTCCAGAATCCGCGAGCTCGTCGTGATTGATATGACGGCGTATTTTCCCGCCCGCGCAAGAGACCTATGGGACAAGTACAAAGACTCCATGTCTGAAGACATCCTGTTCCGGCTGTTGGTCGCCGACATGCACAACGAAGCTCTGGTTATGATTGAAGACAAAGTGTTGATGACTTCGGGGAAGACACTCAAGGACTTTGGTATCGATGTACCACTTCAACGCCGCGGTGTGCTCTGCGCTGAAGTGGCTCAAGGAAAAAGCTATTACCGCCAAGCTCTGTTGAATTTCGTGGAAGAAAGACGCCCACAACTGGAGAACTCCCCTGAACAGCTCGACGTATACAACAAGGTGAAGGATGCTATCAAAAGCAAACGAGGAAGCATATCTCTTTTGGATGTCCCTGGTGGAAGTGGGAAAACGGTCCTGGACAACGTCATCCTCACCGAGGTTCGCAGCAATGGCAACTGCGTCATCCGGAATTGATGCAACGTTATTGGACGGAGGACGGACGGCGCATTCGACATTCGCTTTTCCACTCAACTTGGCTCGAACAGACATAGCTGTGTGTGTAATCAAGAAGCAATCGGGAAAGGCCAAGGTCCTCCAACAATGCAAACTCATTGTATGGGATGAATGCACCATGTGTCACAAGAAAGGCTTGGAAATGCTCGACGCAACGCTGCGTGATCTGCGTGATTCCAACGACTTCATGGGCGGTGTTGCTGTCGTTTTGGCCGGGGACTTTCGTCAAACTCTGCCCATTATTGACCGAGGAACTCCCGCGGACGAGATTGACGCGTGCTTCAAGAAATCCCTTCTTTGGCATCACGTGAAGCAGTGCAGGCTTACCGTCAACATGAGGGCCATAATCACGGGCAACCTGAGCATTCAAGAATTTTCCGATGTGCTGCTTCAAGTTGGAAATGGTCAAATTTCGCGTGACGACGAAGGTTTTATTGAAATACCGCTATCCCTCACGAACAAAGTTGACACACGAGCTCAGCTTTTGGAAAGTGTATACCCTGGCCATTCATGGCGTGACTACCATGAATGGCTGTGCGAACGAGCTATCCTGGCGCCAAACTACGATATCGTCAATGAAATCAACATGACGATTCTGGGGCAGCTTCCTGAGTTCTTGAACTCTCAAAACCCATCAGGACTTCCGCAGCACGACTTCAAGCTCAAGGTTGGTGCGCCGATCATTTTGCTTCGTCACCTCGATGCACCAAGGCTATGCAACGGAACAAGGCTTTGCATCACTGCATTGAAGAGAAATCTGATTGAGGCAGTAATTCCCACGGGCTGCGCCAAGAATACGACGGTGCGTATTCCTCGGATCCCTGTGCTTGGAAAAGACTTGCCATTTCCCTTCAAGCGAGTTCAATTCCCTGTCCGACTTGCATTTTCGATGACTATCAAGAAGTCTCAAGGCCAGTCACTCAAAGTCGTGCGCTCCGACTTGCAAATTTCCTGCTTCTCTCACGGGCAATTGTATGTTGCTTGCTCGCATGTTGGTTCCAAAAGCACATCATATGTCTTCGCTCCAAGTGGCTCCACCAAGAATGTCGTCTACATTGAAGTTTAAGATAACTAGATTCACAGTCAATGCAATCAACTTCGTGTAATTCAACTCTGTCATTTCAGGTTCTTCAATTTCTAGCTCTCAAGTAATCCAATCTCTTCATCTCTGTTGACGGTATTCACAGCAGCGACCCGGGCAACTTGCCCCTACCTCCAAGCGGTCCATCTTCAGCACCCCCGTCTCAGTGTTTCGTTACACACGATGGCAACAATTGACGCCTTTGTGCACTCTAACAATACTCTACATACACAGCACGAACTCAGTGCCAATGTCCCTATCGTTATGCAACTATCTTCATAACCCCCGGTTTAGTGTTACTTCAGACACGCTGGTAGCTTGTCAACACCGTAACTTGCACAATTTGAGCTTAAAACAACGCGACTAACCCTGTGCCGTGGTCCTTATTCAAGCAACCCATCCATTAACCCTCGCCTCTCCGTTTAATTTGGATTCTCTGACACTACGACAGCATCCTAACTTGCAAGAGCGGTGCATAATACACCAACAACTACCCATTGTCATGAACCCTGCTTCGGACAAACTTCGTGTATTCTAACAGCATTTTGACACCAAAACCTGCACAAACGGAGCTTAATACTCCAGCACAAACCCAGTGTCATAAATCCACCGCATACCGCCTTAGACATGCCTACCTCATGTCGCACCGCATCATGCACACAATGCACGACATGAATATCTGTCGTGAACCCTACCACTATGCGAGAAAATCCACCTCTACCCCGTCTGTTTTGCATCAGGCACGCTGCACGAACACGAACCCAGTGCAAAAAAAGTAGAAACAAAGTTGAATACGCTATTACGGGGATTTTACAGGCATTAGTACGGTAGCCGCCAATGCTAGATTACCCTACTTTAACCTACTCCAACCAGCATTAATTCACATCAAACCCTGAAATACGTTCAATAAATCAACCAAGACTGAAAACTCATGTTAGATGAGGCATAGTTTTTTGTATTCTGACCACCTCAACTAGGGATTATACTTGTCCCAGGGTTACAGGGTTACGGGAAGAAAATTTGTTTGAACGGTTTCAGTCTTGGCTGAACGGTATCCAGATTTCTTGAACGTTTTCCCATAAGTTAGTTTCCATTCACATCACACACCCCAACCCGTGCAAGCCGCGTCCATTTCACGTTTTGATTGGCTCAAAGCAAAGAATTCAATTTTGACTAATCACACAATTATATCTACTTAATCAATCAGCGTTGAGGCAGGTGTAGCAGTCAATGCTAGTTATCCCACGTCCAACCACAACCAGCACTAATTCACATCACACGCATCCCCACCCGTGCGAAGCCGGGTCACGTTCACTAGTACTACGTAGTAGTACTATAAAACAGAACTTCATCATGAAACGCCATAATAACAACAGTTCCGATCACACGTATAATACCAGTAAACTTGACTAATCTGTAGCGCCTTTTCGGTGTCCAACTCCGCTCACAGTACAGTAGTGCCATGAATGCGGAGTACGTTTCGAGCCTACTGTACTTGTCGATTCTTGTGTGTCTACATTATAAGAGGACGACAAATCACACTGGTTTTCCACCACATAATGTTTTTTATTACTCAAAACTGTATCGTCAGTTTAGCACGCCGCCTTCGTTTGTTGTGTAAGCTCGACCACGTACGCAATGGAAAACTTGGTAAAGTCCGCGACATGCACCCAGTTGATGTTAGCCAGTGTGTCGTTAGACGTATGGATGTATGGGTTGCCGTTGCCCCGGGCAGCTTCAAATGGAAACGACGACGGGTACCCCGCGCGGAACCAACTGGCATGGTCCGACGCGCCGTAGCCGAACGTGCGGTCCACGTAGCCGATGGTCAAGTACTTGGTCACGAGCTTCTTCAAGAAATCCACGAGCGGAATGTAGCTAAAGTCCGAAGCAAACGCCACCACGGGGGTGCTACCAGGCTTGTAGTAACCGATCATGTCTTGCTGGACTTGGGCGTAAATGTCGGTTTGTTGAGCCGCATACGATTTGACGATCTCGGACGACCCTTGCAATCCCGTCTCTTCCGCCGCGTACCAGTGCACTTCCACGGGGCGCGTGGGGTTCCACTCGTTCGAGTTGAGCAAATGCGTGAGCGTGTGCAAGATGGAAATCGATCCAGATCCGTCGTCGTCGGCGCCAGGGGCGTACGTGTTGTTGGTCGAGCGGTTGATCGAGTCTTGGTGGCCAGAGAGCACCACCGTGTCGTTAGCCGTTTGGCCAGAAATCGGCTCGATGCGGGCAATCACCGACGCCTGGGTCCAGTTGTGCTCAAAGCGGCGCACCGTGTACTTGATGTTGGGGTTCACGGGCTTCAACGCGCTTGCTTGGTTGAACAACCAAGTGCTGGACGCTTTGCCTTCGGCGGACAACTTGTGCCGGTTGGCAAACTTGGTCACAAACTCGGTCAATGTTTTCTCCAACGCCAACGGGGTCACGTTGGCCTGGATCGCGCGGACTAGGGTTTCGTGGACGGGACCAGCGGGGTAAGTCTTGTTTTCAGGGCGTTGAGCGCGTTCGAATCCAAACAGTTGGAGCGAATCCCAGTCGCCATTGGTGGCGTCGGCAAACCCAATGTTGTTTTCGATCAAGTCGTCAATCTACATAGGGTTTATAAGAGAAGAGGGGGGGGCTACGTTCATACCTCGCTCTTGGTCAACCAGCGTTGGTCGTCGTCGGACAAAGCGATCAAACGCTTTTCGCCGTTGTCGATGGTTTGAGCTACGACCAGGGCGGCAATGAAAGCAAAGGCACCAAACACTTTCATGGTTGGAAAAGGATAAATGAGGGGTATACGAAGGTAGATTACGTCTTGCTTGCTTGTTTGAAAGATAAATCAACCCACGTCCAGTGCCACCACCATCTGGTGTTGTCCTATGGGTGCAGTGAGTGGTACACCGACATGATTTGCGACACATTTGCGGCTGTATGCATGGACACCCAAACGGTAAGTACTACTAGTACTTACTACTAGTACATCGGAACGTACCTACATCGATAGCCTTGTTGGTTTGTTGGTGGCTTTGCTGTGCCTTGGAGGTGCAAGTCGACTCGACTGCTTTTTCTGCCTTGATTCAACACAGCGAGATCGCGTATAGTCAATGCTTTCACCCGTTCATGTTGACCCCCAAGTTGCCCAAAATGTATGTAAACGGCAAAGTGGTTCGAACCCCGAAACCCCCGACATCGAAACAGAATGTAAGCTTAACACGCCGGACAAGACATATCCAGCATTTCCAACACCCTGATACGTCGGACGGCCAATGAAACCGAATTCTGGACTGGCGTCACTTTTTCGAGTTTGACAATTGACGTTCGTACTGTACGTATTGTTTTGTGCTTTTCACCTTTTTGGGTAATTCCAGGTTCACTGTCAATCCATTGTTTTAAAAACTTCTCAGCCTTATATACAACGTTTAAAGTAACTTGACTAACGCTTGGGTGTGTTGATTAAAGCTAACGCTACTTCGTCTAAATGCGATGATTGGTTGGTTGCACTTTTGTAACACAAGTTGTTTGCCATTTTGATTGTGGTAATCGACTTGTTTTACCTCAGCACGTTTTGCAAATCAAGGTGCTTGCCGAGATGACACTGAATCAGCTAAATCGTCACAGGCGTGAGCACCCATCTGGTGAAAACTACAATCATTAGCTAACGTTACAGCCTTACTCCGAGTAATTGATACTATCAATAGTACTAGTACGTACTAGTAGTACTGTAGTTATGTAATGAATCCTCGCAATGTCCAATGATTCTTTCTATGCTATTAGTACTAGTATTAGTTTTTGTTGGAACAGGTTCTTAGTACTAGTATGCTATTACTACGTAGTATTTAACATACCAGTACCGTATTCCGTAATACGAGTTAGACACTCTTTACTATTAATAGTTAGACACTCTCAGAAATAATATTGTTTTGCTGCTGTGCAAAATAGAGTTTCCTTTGGCGCGTGAATGAACTCCTGTATCTTATATATACTGCATAAGCAAATCTTGTATCGATTTATAGAGGTTTTCGAAGGATTTCATCGAGATATGCACTTGTTGGCGCCAAATGCACTAAGCCTGATACACAGCCAACCATTTTTCAACTGCATGGCTGAAAGCTTGCCTGTTCCTCCTGCACCTCCTCGGTCACGACCTACTGGGCGCCCTGAATGCAAGCAACACCACAATCTTGTGTGTAGCTACCAAGAGCGACACGACGTGATTCAATACTACGGTACACACGGCATGGCTGCCACGTTGTCCAAGGTCTACATCAACCTCAGCACGACGTCGCGCGAGACGCAACGGAAGAAGATCTACCAATGGTTGGGAAGAAGGACCACATAGCCGGCATGGTGTCGACCACAGGAACTGCGAAGCAGAGAAGTTGGCGACGCCTTGGCGCTGGCACCACCCTCTCCCAAGAGACAGAAGAGATGCTCGTTCGTTGGGTGCACGACATGCGCAAAGACGGGGTCCCAGTCACGCACGCAATGCTTCAGCTCATGGCACTCGAAGCCGCCGTGGATGAGGGATACAGTGAAGGTACTTCGTTGTACCTACTGTTACTTGGTGGTTCACGAAACAAATACGAAACGTTACAGTATCTAGTAAGTACTACTAACCAAAGTGGTGGTGGGTTTGCACAAGTAAGTTGAGGTGCACGTCATGAAAATGCAACATGAGTAGAACCTCGCATGCACTACAGCAAGACCAACTCAAAGACTTTATGTTGACAAGGTACTTGTTGGGGACTGGACCTAATCGACACCTCAAATAAGCGGCGTGAATCGAGCTGACCACGAGTCAATTCGACGAAGTTGTCGTGTTGCCAACATAAGTCAACCATCATCCAAGACACTGGCTTGGACGATGCAAGTGGCAACATACCACCGGTAGTACACAAGCGAGAATTTGGTCGATTACATTATGAATATCTGGACAAGATTTGATGTTAATTTCTACTTCGAAATGTTAATTTTTACTTCGAAATATGTTGGTGCTAGCATGCATGTACTGTACACTACTTCGATTTATATGCTTATGAGTGAGGAGAGGCAGTTTTTCACTAGTGGTGTTTTGGGGTTTTGCTCATGGATTTTCAGGTAGAGTTAGACGTGGGGCTTCACTGGTCATACAGTTCGAATGCCTACGCGTTGATACGTATAAGGCTAGATATGCCCAAGCAATTCTCGTTAACAGTAAGTTCCACAGTTAACCACGAGCAAAACAACACATGACATTTTCGGTGACCACCAGTAAAAAGTCAAATGGCCACACGTTTTTATCCTATACACAATACATACGTATTGTGTTGTTGCTTCAAACAGATTTTAGATTTCTAATCAATCTGACCGGGTTTACCAATGTCACCAAGTAGGCTTTTTGATATAGGAGTTGTGTTAATACCTTGAAAACCTAATTTAGGTATGTTGCTATATTAAAATTATTCCCATTCATATATATTTTTGATGTTCCTGGAGTGACATGCTGAATGTATCGACACAACCAAACGAATGTACACAGAACAACCATCAAAAAGTAATTAGCCAATCAGATAGCAGGAAGAAATTAAGTTCGGCCCACCGGACCTGCGAAATCGTATATGAAATGAAGTTTAAGAGGTATATTTGCTTTGTAAGCCAATCCTATTGCAACCTTCATTCTTTTTGACGTATTTGTTCGTTCGTTGGCGATTCCATCCATCACCCCAAATATTCGTCAATTTGGCTGAAATGGTGAACAATAAGGTTTGACATATAATACCGTTTGAATTAGGCAATGAGTCTCTGTCGTGCCGTATGGCAACATGAATGTTGGCATAGGAGTGTTGGTCGTTCAACACCCCTAGTGACGCCTCGTGCACACCCGCCGTCTCTCTGCATATCTCTGCGTGTTCTTCACGACGTCTCTCACGACGTCCCTCAAGTCATAGTGGATAACATCGATAATCACTTTCCATTTTACCAGCATCACATCGACCACACCTGGAAGACGTGACGTATTGATTAATCAATCGAAGTAGCGAATCCTACCACGACTGAAGAAAGTCCGCTCTTGGCATTTCAAGAATGAACCATGACCAACAAGGAAGAAGTCGAGTTCAGCCGCACATGAGCAAACGGTGGAAAGGCAAAGAAGATCATGAGGATGTTCACCGGCAGCGGCTGGGAGGCGTGGTTGAAGTTTGGGTTGAAATTGAACAGAACCATTTCGGCGCCAAAACCAGCATAATCACAACATTTGGCGATGCCTCGCGGCAAAAACATCACTGACATCGAGCGTGGCCAAATAAAGGCCTATTTGCACCTCAAAAAGCCGCTTCGATGGATCGCCAGAGCATTGGGATGAAGCGATAAACTCGTTCGAACGTGTATTGCCAACTTCGCCCAGGATTCAGCACCGTCAGGCGGTGGAGCTGAAGAAGGTTCCAAGGGTTCGGCTGTTCACTGGAAGACACCTGAAGATGACGCGTCGAGAAGTACGACGGATCTTCCGACTCGCTACCCGAAAGGGTATGTCAGTTAGGCAGATATCCGCTGCACTAAATGGTAAAGTAAAGCGAACTTGTGTCATAACTGTTCTCAAAATGTCCAAATTTGCGAAGTACATCAAACGCCGCTCGGGACCTCGGTTGACGTCCGAACATCGAAAGTGTCGTGTCGAATTCGCATCCAAGCAGCTCAACACGCTCGAATCCATGAAGACTACGCACTTTACCGACGAAAGGAAATTCAACCTGGACGGTCCTGATGGTTGCCAATACTACTGGCATGATTTGCGCAACGAGGTCGAGACCTACTCCAAGCGTGCCTCGGGGTGGGGGCTCGGTATTTATCTGGGGTGGCATTAGCTACTACAACAAGACCGAGCTGGCCTTCCTCGAAGGTCGACAAGACTCTGCGAAGTACAAGAACACCCTGCGAGGGTACATGATTCCGGCTATGCGTGACCTCAGCCAGAAGTCCCAAAGTGATACTGCAGTTTTCCAACAAGACAATGCTAGTATCCATACCTCCAAGCTTTCGACGACTTGGCTGAAGCAATTGGCATGGCCCACGATGGATTGGCCTTCGAAGAGCCCCGATCTTAACCCAATTGAGAACGTCTGGGGGTCCTGGCCGGAAGGTATACGTCAATGGACGACAATTTGACTCTAAGGGAGGTTTAAAGGCCCAAATCCTCGCTTCGTGGCGCGAAATTGATCAAGAGTACTTGCACCATTTGGTAGATGGTATGCCGACTCGAGTGGCGCAAATTATTCAGCGCAGAGGCCACAGCATCGACAAGTAGTGTCAAAATTAGTAACTGCGTCTATACTTTCCGGCCAGTCCAAAATATGAAAAATGAACTTTGCAATATTTCAACTGATCTTTAGGCCAAGTCCTCTTCTGGGACCCTTTTACATCATTGTCCGAATGGTGGGGACACTTAAGGTTCTGAATCGAATGATATCCTCATGAACTCGAAAATTGCGAGGTGCGTCTATAGTTTCCGGCCGGACTGTACACGCGGTGGATGCAGTGCCAGTTCAACGACTAGAGCGCTGGAGGCGCTTCACGACGACGTCCAACTACTCTTGCACGGACACCACCTCGACAAGTACCTGTCCAGCACAACTAACCATCCCACCAACCGCAATCTGCCGTACACCCAGCAAATCCAGCTCGGGATTGCTTTCCTTACAGAGCTCCATTGTCCAATTGGGACGCGCGAAATACTGTTGGAGAGGCTCCGACGCCTTCGCAAGCGAGGCAATCAATGGATCGCGGAGTACTCTGTGGAGTTCAACCGCTGGCTACGAAAACTCAGTATCCGACAAGCCAGTGAGAAGGAGCAACTGTCCACCAACGACCAGCTCCAGATCTACAAAAGCGCCATGCCCACGAATTTCCAAATCGAATTTCGAAAGAAATTCGGGGTCAGGGTCTTCGAATGCATTGAAGACGCCGAAGCAGCATTCACCACGATCGAAAATGATTTTTCATTTATTCGGGGATTGGAAAATGTAAAACCCAACGCGGCTCCGACTAAGCCGGACAAGACCAAGACCAAGTTCAAGGAAGACAGGAAAACAACGACCTCCCCCCACGACAGGCAAGCCAAGCGGTCAGCGAAGACGTGCCGGTTTTGCGAGTCCAAGAACTACAAGGCGGACAACCATTCGTCGACGGACTGTGGACGGCATGACAACCCCAAGAACGCGGACCGCGAGGAGTTCGACACTCCTGCCACGAAGAAAAAGTTCAGAATAGGCAAGGGCAAGGATGTGGCGCCCATGATAGCAGAAATCGAGCTGTTACAAACGAAGCTTAAGCGGGCATCAGCATCCGCGGTATTGCAGAGCTCCCTCGACGACTCTGACGTGTGCGCCATGGCAATCGATGGTGGGGTCGTGGGGGCGCCAACAGACCAACAACGCATTACGATGGAAGTTCGTGTGGCACTGGAGGGTAGTAGTCAAGTTAATGCGGACACAGTCGCCCGGGGAGTAGACATGCTCGATGCGGGACTTGTTTTCGCGGTCGTTATCCTTGCGCATTTGTTTAACCGTGCGTTGGTGGGCAGCGACTCCCTGCCCACCGCGAGTGCAAAATCAAAGAACATGTTGCGGCCAAAAGCAAAAAAGCTGCTGCCCCCGGAGTGATTTGTGTAGTGCTGTGGAACGATGCCCGTGTGGCAAACACGACGATTGAGCAAAATGCTTCCGAGTCGTGGATGGAGTCAAATTCTTTTGTGCGCATTTTGTCGCCAATAACCAAGTGTATGCGTTCGATGATTGCATTTGCAGTAGGGTTCTTGACCGTTGTTGGTACCGCTCGAATTCCGTAGGAGTCCAATAACTCCAGGAATTCCAGCTTGAATTCGGAGCCTTGATCGAAGATGCATTGGACCGGCCGAGGGTAACGACATAACCACAAACGATCGAGTAGCCGTGCCGCCTCAAGGCTCAAAGACGACGTTGTACTGGCCATTTCCAATAAGCGCGTGGTGGTGTCGATAATTGTGATGGCCGTCATTTTGAGGAGGCCAAACGGGCCGACGGAATCGATTGCAATTTCGAACCAAGGGTGGGTTGAGTGTGTCTTGAGTGGTATTTTGCCATATTTTTTGGAGGACTTTTTGCCTTGCAATCCACACATGTCTTGGTGAAGTATTCGACGTCAGTATCCATTCTTGCCCAATGAAGGTCTCGCGCAGCGTGGCACTGAGGACTTTCGCGCCCGGATGTAGTAGCCATTCATGGTAGGTCATCAGCATGGGTCAACGCAGGTCGGTTGGGACTAACATGCGTCCTTTGCGGTCGAAGCGGAGTAGATGGCCGCGCTAACTTCCCTGCTAAAGGATGTTTCCAACGATGGCTCCAGGGCTTGGTGTTTGGCCAACGTAGCGAGGTCCAAGTTGAATAAGTTCTCCGGTGAGAACTCCACGCTAACTGCCAAGGTATCGTTGTGCTGTTCATTGTCCGCCATCCGCAGTCGGGACAATGCATCTGCCACCACATTCTTCTCACCTTGCACAATCGTGGGAGCAAATTCCTCGATCTTGAGGCGCCAACGCAGCATGGTGGGCTCACTGAAGCGTTCGTGGGTGAAATACAAATGATCCGTGTATACCGTGATCACTCGTCCCAGCAGAATGGTGCGGAACGCTTGGAGGACTTCCATAATCGCGAGGAGTTCGAGTTTGTTTGCTGCATAGTTTTGTTGCGTGGTCCTCAACTTCCTGGACCAAAAGTCTAGAGGGCAGCCAGCTTGGGAAATTACTGCCTCCAGTTCGAATTTCGATGCGTCGGTGTGGATATCGAATAGTGCTTCAAAGTCCGGATAGGTCAGCAGTGTCTCCTGGGCGACCATTGCCTTAACTGCCTCGAAGGCCCCTTGGGCGGCCTTGGACCAGCGGAACGTGACATTCTCGGAGGACAACTGTGTCAACGGCGCCATGAGATGGGCGCGACGAGGCCAAATGTCGCGATAGTAATTGATCATCCCAATGAAACGGCGCAGTTCCTTGCGTGACTTAGGAGGTGGGATGTTCGCAATGGTCTCCACCTTTTGAGGTAGTGGGGCGATCCCCGCAGTGGATAGCTCAAAACCATGGTAGTCTAGACGCTCCGCACAAAACGACGATTTTCGTGCATGAGCCACAATACTATCCTGGGATTGGACTTTATGCTTGGCCAAGGAATGATCCTGGACTTTGCCAAAAAAACCATTACATGGGATGGCGCGTCCATGGTCATGATGAAGACGTTGCTAGCAGCTGCCCATGAAGGACCGATCCTCGATGCGAATTACAACATGCCAGCGCTACCCCAGATGGTCCCAGCTCACCTCACCCTCGACCAACAACGGCAACTGCACACTCTGCTCGAAGACCGCGCGGCGGTGTTCCAAGGATGGGTTGGCAAACTGAAGCAGGAACTCTTCGTCATCCCAATGATGCCAGATGCAAAGCCCTATGCCATTCGTCCATACCCAATCCCAACCAAATATTTGGACGCGACGAAGAAGGAAATCTTCCGATTAGTGTTTTGGCGCCGGACGGGCAATCCCCCTTGGCATCACCAACGTTTATGATCCCAAAAGAAGACGACACGGTGAGGTTAGTGTCGGACTTTCGCCAGCTCAATCGCGCGGTGATCTGTCACCCATACCCCCTACCAAAAATGCCCGATCTGCTGCGATCCTTGAGTCGACCAGTGTTCAAGTCAGCCATTGCCTTAGTCATGGGTTATTACGCACGGGTATTACACGCCAAGAGTTGTGCCCTCACTGCCATCGAGTTACCATTCGGCAAGTATGTCTACTTGCGGTTATGGGAGCAGTGTGTGCGCCCGACGAGTTCCAGTACGCCATGAACATTGTGGTGGGCGACTTGTCCTTTGTCCAGTGTTACCTTGATGACTTCTTGGTGGTATCTAGCTCATTCACGGAACACCTGCAGCATCTGCGGATTGTGTTGGAACGACTGCTCCGGTACCAATGGAAACATCAGTTGTGAGGCCACTTTGCACACCTGAACCAAGGTGCGTCCTGAGGTGAAATCCATCAGTTTGAAGCGGATCGACGCCTTGTCAAGTGTGACTCCCGTTGACTTGTCGATTTTGGTTTACCTGGTTGTCGCTGATTGATCGACTAAATGTTGGTCAATTTAGTCCTGTTGGATGGTGGATGTCGTCGACCCAGTGTCTAGTAGCCCAACCACCGTCTGATGCTGATGTTCCGAGATCAGACCAAGCTACATCCAGCCTCCATCGGGCCATTTGAAGTGGTTGCCACCCGACCAAACGGTACTGTCGTCATCGATTGCGGCAAGTACCTCGAAACGTAATCAATTCGACGCCTCTTGCCAGACGATTAGACAAAGGGGGACGGAATGTCGTGCCGTATGGCAACATGAATATTAGGAGTGTTGGTCGTTCAACACCCCTAGTGACGCCTCGTGCACACCCGCTGTCTCTCTGTATATCTCTGCGTGTCATTCACGACGTCCCTGAAGTCATAGTGGATAACATCGACCACATCTGGGAAACGCGACAGTCTCGACGGGCCATCCCTCTGGGTTTATGGAACTGAGTTTTTCGAAAGAATGGCTCAAGGTCGAGTTTGTGAGCTTTGACTCAGAGTGGCAGTTCAACGGGTTCTCGTCTGGAGATATTTTACCCGGAGGCATTTCCAGAGGCCACTGCTGGTTTCTCCACAAGTCGGGGAATACACCTGGCGTGCCGTGCAATGCGTCCAAGGAAGGGCTGGTGGGACTGCCTACGTGATACAGTAAATCGGTGGTCTTTTGGTGACCATCGAAGCGATATTGACATGGCCAAGCTGAAGACCCCTTCGACGATGGAACTCATCGAAGAGAATCGGTACAGTGAGCTGGAATGCAAGCAGCCACGTTCATGCCCCCCCTCGTCGGGCTGCCTGAAACTGCATCGTATCGTTGAGCCGCGTCGAACACATTCATCAGCGAACTTTACGCACCAGATGATCGTTGCGTTGCTAGAAGTACGGTTTTGGCTAGTTTTGTGAGAATTCGCCGGCAGAAAGTCGAACAAGCAGTTGGCCTGCCTGTGGGAAAAGGTTGCCCTGCAATTCAACATACTCACGTAGGCACCAGTTCGTATGTCCGTGTTCGACAGGTAGTGTAGTGCTACTGCAACCCGGTCGACCGCGTATAACGTTTTGTAGCGATGCAGGGACGTCAACATCACCCCATATATCTTCCAACTTCTTCGCAATGATGATAAACATTTAAGGTCCACAGCACCGATGGGTTCTGTACCAGTCAGCATAGATGTGATCGGTCTTCAATGTGTTTCAAGCCGACGCCTTGACAGTGGATTTGTCCATCTTTGTAGCGGGGGTGAGACGGTCGTCCAAAGAAGCAACGACAGCTTGTTCAGCAACACCGACAGCTGCAGCGACTACCGTGATATGCCCATTGGACTGAAATGTATGGCTGGTGATACTTTTTTTACAACAATTCTTGGTATAACGTTATTCTACTGACACTATGAGTAGAATAGCGTTGAGCAGCGACCCGCTCTGCAGAATGGTGATCGTGACTTTGATGGCATCGATGATCAGGGCAATGCTGAACGTCATGAGCCACCACTCGTAGGTCGGCGCGTTGTCTGGACGGTTCTCGACGCAGTATTCCATCAGCTGCCGGCGATGGCTCTTCAGGAATGTGAGCAGGCGGCCGAGGTGCGACCACCGGTTTGTCTGCTGGGGGCACTTGACGTTCATGCGCGTGATTAGGTTGGCCTGCTGACTGAGAAGGACCAGGTGAACTTAATCCACGTGCCGTTCGCTACGCACTCGGCGGCTTGCTTGACGATCAGGTCGATTTGGTGCGGTGCGCACCAAATCCGGAGCACTGGGTTCTCGGCGGTCGCTACGATGCGTGTGACGAGGCCGCGGTGACGGCCCGTCATCGTGTTCTCGCCGTTGGACGACATGCCGATGAGCTTGGTGCGCCACGGCGGGTACAACGCATCATGAAACTTGACGAGCATGTTGAAGATTATCTCGGCCGTGTGGCGGTCGAACATCGGAATGGCGACGAGGTGGAGGTTGTACAGCTTGTGACCAAAGCAGACTCGCACGCGCAGATCGAAGAACGACTGACCGCGATGCGTGCTGGAGTCGCCGGCCAGCGACATCGCCCAAACCGACTCGTGGTCGAGTACGTCAGAGATGTGTTGCAGGCTGCTGCCGACGAGGACTCGGACGTACTGTCCGACAATGAGGTGATTGGCGCCTGTCAGCTTGGCAGTGTGAGTGCGAATCTTGGCGTGCTGGATGGCGCTCGCGACTTGGCGGAACGACATACCGATCCCGAAAAAGTCCATGGCCAACTCGAAGCGCATCACGTTCTTGATGGTGATCGTGTATCAATACGGATCGTCGTCGCTCCGCACGAAGAGCTTCATCGTGTTGAGTTTCTGCGATCTTGGCTGCCTTATTGGTTGCAGCGTTCTCGTCCATGCTGTCGCTGTTGTGCTGGTTGATGATGGCGTCGTTGCGGAAGAACATCTCCCCCCGATGATCACGTCCACAATGGTGGCTTTAACATAGAACGTCATCTTGTCGGTGGACAGGTCTATATACCGGTGAAGCGTGTTGCTCACTTTGATTTGGCCATCAAAGCATTTCTTCTTGGCCTCAATCGACGCCGTTTGGTACTCGGTCCAGGATGAATCATGCTGACCCGAAAGTTGGATCTTGTATTTCGCCGCGGTGAACGGCGCGGTGTAGTAGTGAGTGCCCGATCGCGCTTTCCGCTTGCGTTTGGTGTTCGGCCCGACCTCGGCTGCGTCCCGGCCGACGTACTCACAGAACATGCAGCGGTACGTGATGACGCCATTTCCGGTGGTGTTCATGAACTCCACGGCGTACGTGAGCTTGTTCGAATCCTGAAAGAGTGTGTTCACCTTCTTATTGGGTGGCATGAGGTCGCTGGGGGTCGCTTTTGCTGTATAAGGCAATGTAAGAAGGCCGATCAGGGCTTCCTCTGCTGAATTTTAAAAAACCTTAATTTGTCGTAAATAGCGCAAGAAAGCGACAAATTAAGTTTGGGAGGGTGAACTGCCTCTTGTGAACAAGCAAGTGGTCGAGCCAATTGGCCAAACTTCGTACATGAGCATTTTGGATATAGAGGACGAGGACTGTCACCATGGTTATGGCAGGGATGTCTGCCTGACTCAAGCAGAACCCAGGCGATGAGTACTCATATAGGATAATTATAATATCGAGGTTTTGTTAGCTCTGTATATGCATATTGTTACCTATTAGACCATACATTAATCAAGTATTTTAATTCTGCACTGAGGAGCAATATTATTTTGATGATAATGCGCATATTATCCAACAAAAACTGTAATATAAATATGAGCAAGCAAAACACCGAATTCCCAGCTTCTCATTCGTACAAATTTCTTAGAAATTGGGTAGTAAATGAGTTAAATCTTGAGGTGAGTCGACATGGAGGTAATTTGGGACGGAGTAGTACTCGGAAAGGGGCCAGGTTAATACTATTAATAGCTAACGTTACTGTATTATTAATACTAGTGCTCCGGAGTAAAATTCAAATCATCAGGGTCACGTGGTGAGTAACGTTACTACTGTACATTACAACATGCATTCTTTTTGGCCAATGCAAAAGTTAAAATCCATTCTTTATAGCCAATCATATTGTCAAATCGATTCGAAAAACTGGAGCCTCAGCAGAATCGAATGTCGCTGCAAGAGATCTACGAACCACCTAAGCCAATGAAGTCATACATATGCTTTTGGCCAACACGGATGGACTGGGAGAAATTTGGATTGGCAGAAATTCGACAGAACGCATGTACTAATATTTGCATCGTATAGTTTGTACTATTAATAGTATATCAGATCAAGAGGATTCGAAAGCAACTGTATATGGCAAAGTCCAAATTTGGGTGATATGCACAACACTGCTTTGCTCGACTTTTTGGTGATGGGGATACTGTATATGGTGGCGCCTCTGATAGATTTTTGCCCATTGCGACCATTGACACCTGATCAACTTCGCGTGGGTGCGCTATGGAAACACTCAGAATACGCCAACTCCCCCTAAAAAGTTGTCGCTTGCTCGGCTTAAAAAATCAAAGCTGCTGTAAGTGGAGATGCTCCATCATCGCGACCGCCCTGTCCGCCTGCAGACCGGTCACCTCCACGGCCCATCGCAACGTCAGCCTTCGTTGGTCATCAGTGTGAATTTTGACAGCGTGTAAATGGGAATTTTTATAAAGGTTGCATGCTGTATTGTATTTGACTATGTTGAGTAGTACTTTTGTATATTATTTTTGATTGTATTACTCTTCCGGATAGAATAAGTCAGGTGGGTGATATTTACATCAAACTTGACGAAAAAGTCCTATGATAGGGATTTTCGGGGCTGAACTTATGTTTGGACTTATTGAGACCCCAATAAAACCAACGGGTGGGAGTATAAGTCCAAATCTGGTGCTATCTAAGGGTTATCCGTATAAATCAGACCTTTAAGTCTGACGAGTGGAGATGCTCTAATGATCCATCAAAACATGAAACCTCGGCGTCTTGACTTCAAATCCACCAAACCGCCATACTAGAATACTAGTACGGCGAGCCGAGACGACTGATGTGTAACTTGTTAACAGTTAGTTACTTACGGTATCCTCATTCTCGATACGTATAGTCACACCATCCAGCACACACGAACTTGTTGTCAGCAAGCATCGTCGGATTTAGTTCTATAAAAACGCCATCGACAAGCAGCGCGGAGTAAACCAGCCCTTACACTTTGATTCCAAACGGGCATCATTACACCGCCAAGAATACTAGTATCGTCCTTGACCATGTTGATACTACCGGTATTGAAAGTTGCATTGTGTTTCAACATACTACTACCGGTACGTAGTAGTAGTACGTACCGGTAGTAACATACCCACGACATTGGCACTGCAATAGTAAGATAGTAAGGGCGTAAGTGTACTTCCTGGTAAAATACATATTGACACGAATACGATCATTCACAAGCCACGTACATGCGACACACGAGATCCTTGACCAATTGCATTGCTTTATTCAGGTTGCCATGTGGGATACAGTGCACTGGTCAAGTGAATTCAGTTCAATTGCCCACAGTTCCACTCTTGTTTTGACCCAAAACACGTTTCAAGGAGGGAGTTATGCCATCCGGATACACTTTACTAGCCCGTAGCCTCTAACCTGGGACTCCGTCCTACCCCCGGTGAGCACATATAATGCTAAATCCCCGGGGTTAACTGCATCACTAGTGGGTAACTATCGCTAACTACTGAGATGCACTTATAGTTAACCCCTAGTAAGTGGTGAGGTGGCCAGAGCTTACTAAATCCCAATATAAACGACAATATCTGAGAAAAGAAATAGTAAAACTGTTTTAATCGTGGAATTGTACAGTGAATTCATGGCAGAGCATCCACCCATCTGATACGTGACGAACGTACCAGTCACTTTACCTTTCACTCTGTTGATACAATCCGATCGCCTCCACTGGTATGGCCGACCGAGGTATGCAGCAATTATTACTGCATTTCCCTCACATTTGGGCAGGCCTCGTTTAACATTGCGTTGTAGCCTCGTCCCCCGACATATGTGTGCTAGCTGAATCCGACGAACCCTTGTCTCGCCGGGCTGTATATACTCGAGTGGTGATTATCGTTGCGGTTTTGGCATTGGTTGGCGGGGGAATCGCTATCGCTGTCGTCGTCCTAACCCAATCCCCTGTCGAAACTTCGTCTTTTGCGGAAGGGAAGTCAGGGTTCAACTCCAGTACCTCAACTATGGAGACCAAGGGCACTGAAATCGCCCCCAACACAACAATGGTGACACCGACAACTGCCTCCCCAACCACAACACCAAACAATACGGTGGCTACTCCAACCACAACACCACACACCACGGTGGCTACTCCAACCACAACACCACACACCACGGTGGCGCCGACAACTGCCACCCCAACCACGACACCACACACCACTGTGACACCAACAACTGCCACTCCAACCTCTAAACCAAACACCACATCCGTCCCCACAGCAGTCCCCGTCCTCACTGGTCTTGGCCACATCTTGCCCAAACACATGTTTCTCGATGCATTTCCCAATGCACACCCGTTGTACACTTACGAAAATCTGTTGGCGATGGCGACAAAGTACCCCGAGTTTGCCAGCACGGGCGACGTCACTGCCGATCGACGAGAAGTCGCCACCTTCCTCGGACATGTTGCTTTGGAATCGGGGGACCTTCGGTTCGTGGAAGAGTTGAAGGTGTCGACCATGTGCCAAGAGTCGCCAGAGTACCCGTGTGCACCTGGAAAGCAATACCATGGCCGGGGAGCAATACAATTATCTTGGAATTACAACTACAAGGACTTTGGCAAGGTGGCCAATATCGAGTTAGTGCAGTTTCCCGAGCTCGTTGCAACCGACCCAGACCTGCTGTGGTGGAGCGCCTTGTGGTATAGCAACGACGACAGGTGGAACGGCAACATCCACAAAGTGGTCGGCAGGCCGGGGGGGTTCGCGTACGTGACGTTTATGATCAATGGAGGCTTGGAGTGTGGACTGAACCCATCGAACAAAAAATCGGAAGCGACCCGCATTGCCAACTACGTCAAGTTTTGCAGCATGCTGGGCGTCGACCCTGGCGACAACTTGTCGTGCCAGACAGCAGCCTACCCCCCAAAGAATCTCTGGATAGACCCCCCAACCAAGAGGCTCTGAGAATTGCAACAACACCACGCATGTTTATTTATTATATGTTCATTGGTACAGTATGTGGGGCAACGTGTAGTAGTAGTCGTACGTACTATTAATAGTACTAAATTACTACTAGTATGTAGTATTGTGCTTTTACCCCAAATTTGGACTTCATCGATCGAATTTTTAAGACTAAAACTTTTCTCGGAAACAGAGTACCGCTCGCACGACGATGATAAGGGTGCGATCAAGTCTGATTGGTTATAATTCATTACTAGTAGTACAAACATCAAGTAAAAGTACTTCGTTGAACATACCTCATCTGGGTACTGCGGGGGTTAAAACAAAGCGGAATCGCTTGCTACCGTTGCATGGATATGATTAGGCTCAAACAGAAAAAAATTATCTGCCCATTTACCAGAGCTATGCAACTTTTTCATGACGACGAAGCGATCGCGGGAAGCGGTAAATCCTTCATTCATGCAATGCCTTTTCCCCACAAACGAAGAAGTATATGTAGCATGGAACCAGTGAGCACGGTTTGTGATACTTAACTACAGTAACTGAAGGAGCGCTCTGTCTAGAGGTAGACAATCCATGATGAATGCCACATTCTCCATTGGCGACAGGTGTCCTGTGGCCATGTACTGTTCTATGCGTAATGCAATTACCCAGGAAGAAGTAAAACGAGATGTTAGTGATAAAATGAGAGCTATGAGTGATTGCGCACAACTTTGCTTGCCTTTTCCGGTGTATCATGGTACTCTGGAGCATGGCAGTTAAGGGTTGTGACGGCGGCGTCAGCAGGGTGGACACCTTGGCCATTTGACGTAGGACCGTCTGAGGCCTTGGAGACCGTTATAGACACGGAACCACTATAATTTTGAGTTCCAATTTAAGTCGTATATTTTAACCTTCTTTTTGTATGTAATTGTGAATAGAAATTCAGAGGTTCACTGTATGATTGGTGCATATTCAAATAACGATCTATGATTGGTGCATTTTCGTACGACCTAAATTGGCACATAAGTCATATATTGGCACTTTACGTTAACACGTTTTGGGGATAGGGACATCGATACTAGTATACGGACCCCCGTTGGAGATGCTCTTACTATACGAAAAGTAGAAAAGAAATCCTTGACGTCTTTACTAAATCGTGAAAAAAAAAGAGGTAACGTGGGTCCGGATCACACCCCGATTTTTGCCCAATTAATATTTCGAAAATTTGGTTCAAAGTAATTTGAAGAATTTGGTCGCCTACTACTTTTGACTGTCTGGATCAAACTGATTTAGAAAGAAAATCTACAATTCTCAGTTCTTGCCAATTTTCAGAAAAGTCCCTTGAACCTATTTTTTATATTTTTTGGCGAAAAACACGAAATTTGGCAAAAAATTGAATTCTCCAAATTTTGGTCCAGACAAATAATTTTTCATTTTTTGCCGATTTCTTAGAAATTGCCAAAATATCGAAGATTTTGGCCTTTTTTTTACATCGAGACTCACCCTAAATCGATTTTGATTGGCTCATGCTATTTCTGAATACTACTTGGAACTTCCCCTAAGGGAAGTTCTATAGTCATATACTAGTACCTATGGTACTAGTTAAGCCTGAAATACCTATGGTAACGGACATAAGCCTGAAATATACTCCAGCGGTGTAGGGTCTGGACGAAATATACTGAATATTCGGCGAACACAACCGAGATGGCGTGAATCAGTTACCGTATAGTGTACTAACGTTAGTATATGTATTGCGACAGGTGATATTGCACAACCAGCCGACACTCGTTCTCAAAACTTTGTTAGTCCATTGCGTCATACTACCTCCAGACGGAAATAGAAGTCCCTTTTCATTCTTAGAGGTTTATTCAGAATTAACCGGAATTAATTACTTTATAGAGTCACTTTATATGTATCCGGATACGAGTCACGATTTTATACTGATTATATTAAAGACCTGCATTAATTTATATTCTGTACAAAACATAGTTTAAATTGTTGCTGACTATTTGTTCATGCAGGTAGAATGCATGCAAACCACAAACATTCATAGAGTAGAACCCCCTTATCCATTAGGGTATTCATCTTTAAGGTATTATATTCCACAGGGATACGGATCATACAAAGACCTTTACAACAAGCATACTTAGGGCAAAAACAGATAACACCATCAAACAAAACACCAATTTTACCAATTTTCACCAAAAGGGACTTCTAGTTCCGTCTGTAGGTATTAGTACAAATTTGAAGTATATTCAACATGTTCACAAGTAAATATCAGTTATTACAAGAAAAATTACCAGTTATTACAGGAGTCGCAATAGATTAATCCGTCGCAATGCATATACACTATACGGTATGCAACGGACGAAATATACCGTAAATAACCTTATAGTTAAAGAAAAATGGTGTAGTATTTGGGACTCCAGGAGGGGATACAGTCCTGTTATGGGGGAATTCGTCGTGATTACAGTACCGGTACTAAAAGGCGAGTCAATTAGAACATGATCATACCAGTACTGTAGCACTGAAGTTCGTACACTGCACCAGCGAAATCGCAATTGCATTGCGTTCCGGCGCTAGTATAGCTGTACTATTTGCAGTACAGTATGCCTTGTACAGTTGTAAAGTGCATCCTCGTTCGAGAAGTGTCATATTACCAGGTACAGGTTGCGCGGCCGCTGAACCGCCTTGGGCCGCAATGCTTCTGCGAGATTGCTACAGCATACCTATGATATATAATATTATTTTGAAAAAGTAGTCCGAGCATACTTGAGTTAGGTTATATTTTTATATAGCAGCGGCCAGATACAGTGGTCGACGACCAGTCAATGCATGATATCATGCGTGGAGAATAAATCTCTATTTTGTTTGAATTGTCGTGTTTATTCAGCTGTACCTTGCATTGATGCTAAGTAGTATTGGCTTTTCGCGCCTAACACCTTCATATAAGGACATGCTCATACTATGTACTACAAGTACGCAGTAGTCTTGAACAGTTTCCATGACTTCGTGGCTTTGTTTCGGTCGCCACATGTGTTCACACCACGATTACTCATGTCGCAAGTTTGCAGGTGTATGTAACTCGGCCTTTTTGGCCACGCCGGGGTCAACATTCCCATGTCCATTTTACGTTATCCCCTTTTACGTCCTAAGTAGAAACACAGAATGATGCATCGCAGCGGAGGTAAACAACCAACACCACTGCAACAGCCTTTACATTGCAACGTGACCTCGTCTGTGGTGTACTAGAGTCCAAAAGCTACACGGAAACAACCATGCTACCAGCGCCCGAAGAGATTTCCTCTCGTCCTCGCCGAAGAGCCGGTCGTATCGTGCTAGGCGTGGCCGCATTGGCGTTGATCGGGGGCGGTGCGGCCGCGGCGGTGGTCCTCACCCAGTCCAAGGGCACCACGACGCCTACGTCGGAGGGCAGCAGCAGCCAAAACAAACCGCCGTCGTCGCTGATTGGGGGAGCTGCGGCGACGACGTTGTTGCCCAGTGGAGGAGGCAACCTTCGCCCCAGCACTACGCCTGTGATCAAGGGCCCCACAAAGTCAAACCCTGAAACCGATCCTGTTTTAGTGACCATGTTGGCGATCGGAGACTGGGGCAGCACCAACGGTATGCTACTACTACTTTCGATTACTCGTTTTTTGTACTACTTTCAATTACTCGTTTTGAGAACCTTCACCTTGGGATGGATTCACTGTAGGCAAGGGGGACGACGGCACGAATCCCGGGTCGTGTTGTTCCAGAGACAAAGTGTCCGAAGAGGTGAAAACGAACGAACCTCGGTACGTTGATTCCCCTTGAAATCAAATGAACCTCGAGAAATAATATGTTCACTCCCCTCCATCATTCCACTTGCCCGCTCGTTCTGGATGTTGAAGTGGTCGTGCTTCGGGATTGCCATCATATGTATGGGCATGATAGTTCGAGGGCGTCGTCGTCATGTGTTCGAATCGAAGAATCTCAAAATACAAACACCACGATATTAGGTACAAAGTGGATTTCCGCTCCCAGCAGCACGTGGCCAAGCTGTTGGCCCAATCAGCGTTGGAACTCAAACCCAAAGCCATTCTCGGGCACGGTGACAACATTTACTGGAACGGCGTCGGCAAAGACGACGTCAAGGCACGCATGGACGAAACCTTTGACAAAGTATACAGTGACGTGGCGCTCTTAAACGTGCCCTGGTACAACGTCGCTGGCAACCACGACGTCGGCGGGTCCGTATACCTTTGTGGGGACCGTGATGGGGCCTTTCGCGAGTGCAAAAGCGTGGCGGAAATGCTCGACGCGTTGGACTCCAAGTTTAATCTCCAGCGCGATTACAAGTCGTCCCACAACAACCGGTATGGAATGGAATTATATTTACATCAAACCCCATCAACCATATAAAAATTGGCAATATCGTGTTTGGCCAAAACCAATAAAAAACAAACGACTCGGGGATGGATGTGTCTGACTGGTATGCGAGTGGGGTAGATGGATCATGGAAGGACATTATTATGTGAAAACGGTCAAGCAACAAGGCGTGACAATTGACATTTTCAACTTGGACACGAACGAAGCGAGTGCCCACGGCGCAACGCAAGTCTGCTGCCAGTGCTTTAGCTACCGTGGCAACGACAAGTCTGTCAAGTGCAATGAAATTGACAAGGGCAGTCCATTTTGTGCTGGCGGCAACATGGACATGTACAACGTACGATCGATAGCTCCTGATGGATTGTTTCAAATGGTTTTGTTAGGCTTGCATGAACCGCATTCAATCGTGGGCCACCGAGTCGTATGATGGGGTCATGCGCGACTTGGCGCTGTCGAAAGCCGACTTTAAGATCATCAACACCCACTACTCGCCCCACTACCACATGAGTCGCCCGTTGGCAGAGAAATGGTTCAACGTGACCAAACCACCACCACCTACCGCCGCCGCCGCTGTCAAGGGGGGGGTCCACGCCTGGTTTAACGGCCACACCCACGGGTTCAACCACGATGTAACGACGTGGAATACACACTTTTTTCAAAATGGCGCTGGCGGGGGCATTGTAAGTCAGAGTGGCGCCCAAGCCGACCCAAACGCCGCGAAAGTCCATCCTGAAATCGACACGTACGCGCTTTATTCGTTTCTGGAGGGTTTATATTACTGTAGTATGACCACGGAATGTAAACACTATGTAGGGTGTGGGTCGCCGCGGGCCAACCGTATGGATTTATGGAGGTGTCGGCTTCCAAGGAGTGGCTAAAAGTGCAGTTTGTGAGCTTTGACAAGGCGTGGGTGTTTGGAGGGCACAAAGTGGCCGACACTGTCGCAGGAGGCCTTGCCAGAGGCCATTGCTGGTACATTCACAAGTCCCTCGATGGCCCGGGTGTGCCCTGTGCGTCGTCGAACGATGGCGTAGTGGGGATGCCCACTTGATTAACGTTTCATTACTACAATTGTGGCCGCCTTGTATGAGCGGTGTCAACCTACCAGTAGTGAGTTTTGACGATTTTTTCACGGGGATTGCTACCTGTCTCTTCATGATGATCGTAACCCTTCATAGGAGTCGCAACTCTCAAGTGTGTGAATCCGATATTGTGGATTCGGTACAAATTTCCAGACCTGAATCACGAATCGACGCTATTGATGAATCCATTTTTGAGTGGATTTGATTTGCTCTTACACAAAGGACAAGTATATTCGACCAATCAGAAACCCAGCGTGGTTCAATGATTGCCAACCACCCGAATTTTGGACGTTTATCGTGAATTCACAATACTAACGTTAGTTGTACTGTCCTTGTACAGTACATGTACCCAAAATCTGGATTTGTGTGCAGATTCAACCGTGACAAATCAAACTATTTCAACTTCTTCATATTTCCATGGTTCATTCACAATGTCAATTGAGCACAAATAGAGCCGATACATCTGATTGGCTAATATCCACTTCGCCCATTCCAATAGAAAATCGAACATGGATTCTAACCAATCAGTGACAAGTGATTTGGATTGACCAATGGAAAAGATTTTCGCCCGGTTCAGCCAGCGAGATGATTCGACGTAACGGGTCCTGATGTGCATACCAAATCTCCTCCAATACAAATATGCCCAAATTTAGGCTGAATGCACAGTAACGTTAGCTACTCTATTTACAGTACCAGGTTCTCAACAACAAACCAACGTTAACATTGTCACGAAACTATTTTTATATATTATCTTCAAGTATGGAAATTGTTTTGCTGAGTACTGTATTACCTGGCGATGGTAATAGCCTGTTCCAAGTACTTTTCAAAATGGGCATTATCCAATCAAAACGCTCCCCAACTCATTCCAAAATCCATTTATCAAAATGGGGTACATGACCCCATTTCATCCCATTTCGGGCAACTCAGTTATTTCCCTAATGATACTATCCAATGATTGATGCCAATCTCATTCCAACTTTTCAATTTGGCATGATAGACTCGACCACTACTGTGTGTGTTTCTGTAGTTGCTGCCTTGGCGCCACCCTCATGTCGATCGACGGACGTAGCAACCGCGCCCCTGCCATCAACACTGTTGTCGTACTCAGTACCACGTGGAGTTGGCATTGAACGCAAGAGTTGGAACTCTGCCTCGAGCTCGGCTCGGGTACACTTTGCGCGAACCTCTGGGTTTGCTGGGCTGCATTTCCAAAATGACTATTTGACTGTGTTATTGGCCAATCAGCATGCATCCTAGTCTAATGATTCAATCACGGTCATAGAATGGGTAGAAAATGGGACGAAATATTTTGTCACCCCATGTTTCGTTTTTTTCCAATTCTACTTGGAACAGGCTCTAAACACTGGCAAGAAAAGCACAATAGATTTCGCAAAGTAATCCGTGTCCGTTTCCGCAATAATTACCCTCAGGATTTAGTACAATCACGGAAACTCATGAAACGTTCTAGCGGAATCTGTGGAAAGCAGCTATCACGGAATCGGATAATCATACTTGGAGTAAGAAATATAGGTTATCCGCACAGGAGGGGTTTCATTCGGTGGGTTTCGTGTGCTAGGCTCAGGTGGACAAGTGAGGATGACTTGGCGCTGTTGGTACAGGCCAACCACGAGCGACCATTCCTTAACATCTAGTCATGAAGTCTTGGGGGGTGCTCGCGTGCAACTTGCTTAAAGTTCCTGGCTTCTCTTACCAGGAACTCGAAGTTGACGGCAAGAAAGCATCGCACAGGTTCCATCGAATCCTCGACAACCACGAAAAGTTCCAGAAGGATTCTGTGTATTTGTATGGTGTTGACCGACGGTAGGAATGTGCGAGAAGAAGTCGGCGATGACGGCCACGCTTCGCGAAGCGAGAACGCTTGACAACCATGACAAGTTCTTCCACAGACAGCATTATTGACAGCATTATTGCAAAGTACGTGATTCCTTATGACAAGTTCTTCCGCATACAGCATGATTGCAAAGTATGTGATTCCTTATGTTTATTCCGGACGCGGAAATCTATTTATACAGCGAAATCGTCTAACTGTAAATTTACAGTTAATCCGTGTCCGTGGTCATGATCGTGTCATTTTTCTCACGGACGCGAACACGGATTGAATTGCGAAATCTCCCTAATAATAATGTCGAATACACGTACTGTATATACTATGTAGGTGTTAACCGTGAAATAAATTTACCCACAACGCGCATGACAGGAAGAGAGGTGACAACTAGTTAATTGTTGCCATAAGGTTCCACGTGATGCTTGCCTCCTCCGCCCTTTTTTCCAAACGGGCTTTTGACACTTTTGAAGAAGTTACGGGCATGACCCTTTGCATTTCCAGTTGCTTCCCGGATACGGTTCGCCACTCGGCCACCCACCACTTGCGCGCGATTAAGCAATCCCGCCACGTGGTCATTTAGCTTGGGAGCGTGCTTGGAAACGGCAGCCTTGATGCCCTGGTGCGTGCGATCGATGGCTCCGCGGACATGATGGCGGACATTGCCGAACGCGCCCGTGAATCTGCCGCGGGTTTCGGAGCTGAAGAGCAAGTTGCGGGGGGTGTCATTCGTGTTGGCCAGTTCATTGTAGTGCTTGGCGAGTCCACGCAACGCTGTCACCTGGTTGTCGTCCGTGGAGGAGGTGGCTTGGTCGCCGAATGCGATGGCGCACAGCAGCATCAAGAGCACCAAGAGGAGAGAGAACGTACGTTGGCCACGCATGATGGAGCGAAAGATGGAATGAATATGATGGCACCTCGATGGAATTACGATTCCACCACGCTGCATGCAACCATGTCGTCGTAGCAAAGCAAGCCATCGGATTGGCGACCTTGTGCGATTGACAACAGCGAGGGTTGAAACTTTGAAAAAAGACGCGTATTCTTTGTCAGTATGGATTGACAAAACCAGAGGTATCTGAATGCACTGATTTGAAGTTTGAAACAACCTTACGGACAACGACGACGAGTGTGGGGCCGTCCAATTTAACAATAGTTGGGGATTACGAAAGTAATAGCCGGAAAATCCATAGGACTGCGAAACAAATAGTTTCGTCAGAGTTTCGTAATCCCAACCAATCTAATTTGAAGTATCTTACTCATTGTATGTGACTGAACAATCAATTGAATTGGTTGGGGTTACGAAAATTCTACGAAACCCATTATCCGGAGGCGACTCCTCTGACGCCCGACACTTTCGGGCTTCGTACGTGGTCACGGCAGGCATCACAGCTTCGTGATTGAATCTCATTCGCGCTCCCGGGATCCAAGTCTATGATGGCATCCCTTGGCAACTTGCCAACGAGGTCTGTATGACCGACATGAACAACGAATGCTGACATTTATGTTTTGTAATGAGCTTAGTATGCGTCGAGGAGCCCGGGCTCCTTGAACTCCCTTGTTCGGAAATAGATGCCCCAACTCAACGTGGCAGTGACGGCAAATATCGGCGGTGGCTGTGCGTGGTCGTGATGGGCGAGTTGACGTTGCCATGCTGGCTGATGCCAACGACCCAGCCGTGGTGGCGGAAGCCTCGGCGCTCTTCCACGCTGCATTTCCGCCCCAGCATCACTCTCGGCCAACTTGCGCTCGATCGTGTACAACATCCACGTGCGCACATCGTCCGAGCCCAACGCTGCGTTTGCGCACCTCCTCCAGGTGTACGAAACCAGCGACTTTATCGATGAAAAGCTGTATGTGCTGGGCGCGCTGGGCCGGTTTCCGTCTGTGAAGCTCAAGACCCGCGCGTTGGAGTGGGAGGTGTCCGCAGCCAGGACATCCACAGCGTTTTCGGCAGTGTCGCAGCCGACGGGTCGACTGTGGGACGCTTTGAGCGCACAGTACTCGCAGATCATCGTGTGCCCATCGCCAACTTCCAGACGGAACAAGCCGTCACGGCGGTCGAAGCGTTCTTGGCCGGCCGCCCCAAGGTGCGTTTGCCCGCCCACTGGGTTTGTTCTTTGAAAACATCCGCACAGGGGCTGCCATGTACGCCCGCGATGTGACACCGCTGGCGGCGTGGATCCAAATGCTGCGATAACAAGGATGTAGTTGCGGTCCAGTTGTGTAACACTACTCGGAGGGAGTAGTACTCGTAGTGCGTTGCAAGGCACCATGTTGCGGTAAATGACGAGTTTTGGGGTTAGTACATAGTACAGTGTAGTTGACCAATGGACGTATAAGGAGGATGTTCATGTATATCACGGTGGACTGAATTTGGAGCTGGTTCGTACATACTAGGTAGTACACACTGCGCAGTTAGTTTGCGGATGGGGACGATAGCTGGTGTCCCCCCGTGCTGTTAGGGTCACACTAAGCTCAGTACTTCGATAACGTTATGTTATTACTAGTAGTAGTTGCAACTGGCGATGCTGTTAGCAATTACTTGAAGTTTTTACTTCGAAGTACTTCTATTTCATAGAATACTCCAAGTACTTATATTAAATCAAGTCCGGGAGGGTTTCGTAAGAGTTTTCGTAACTACCCAATAATCAGACATTAGTTGGCATGTTGCGAAACAATTACCAACACTCCTAAATAGTGTCAATACATTGTTGTAAGAGAGAATGATGGTCACGAAACAATCGCGAAACATTTTATCCGGAACTATCAGGAGCTAGCTTAGGCCAGGGCCGGGAGCGTAGCGAACCAGGCCCGTTCGCCCGCGCAGCGACTCAGTATAACAGCAATGATCTATCTAATGTCTGGGAGCACCGGAGGCCGGGAGCGAAGCGAACCAGGCCGAGGAGCCCCCCTACTAATTTCCGGTTAATTATCCGGATGTTTCGCGATCCACTACTAATAACTATTAATAGTAGTACTATTACTGTATCAGTACCTTGTACTGTACTGTAGTACATGTATATACAGTGCCAAATATCGTCCTTTACAGTACCAGGTACAGTTCTGTAATACGAAGTACTGTACTGTAGTACAACGTAGTATACGTATAGCAATCATTAACTGTAAGCTTACTCTATGCGGTATCAAATTTTGTCCTTCTAGTACTCCTTCTAGTACTAGACAAAGTACAGGCATCATGCTCTTATCGGATGTACCAGTCCTTCCTTTGAATGCAAGGTTAAATGCAAGTTACCCCATTCTGTACATCCGCGTGGACTACGTACACAAGTACATTCTACTGTACATACAATACTACTGTACGTACAATACTACAACATCGACAACAACTTGATTGCCCAAAATCTCTACCCCAACGCAGAGAGACTGCGAACAACAATTGTATACCGCTTACGCTTTGGGCGCAGTCTCCCTGTGAATCGTCCAATTACTCTGTGATTCGTAGTGCGCACTACTTTTGTAGTTTCGTCAAATCCCTCTATTGATTTTGTATGGAAGAGTAGTCCTGTTTTGAATATTATTTAAATTGATTAAAGTATACTACCTCCGATTGGAAATGAAGGTAGTACAATAAACAGTACTGAACGTATACTATGTAACGTTAGGGCCTGTTCCAAGTAGGTATTTTTATCAAATGAAAAAGTGGTTCCAAGTACAGTTTCCTACTTTTTTACCTCTTTTTCTGCGATTTTTCACGCAACTCACTATACCAAAAGTAGAAAAAGAGGTCCTTGACGTCTATTCCTAAATCGTGAAAAAAAAGAGGTATATCGATTTTGATTGCCTCATGCTATTTCTGAAAACTACTTGGAACTTCCCCTTACTGCATATTCAGCTGCACACATCTTGAAGGATGTTTATTGCGTATTTCGGACGTTACTTCACTTGAATAACATATTCAATGCACTGTACGAATACGTATTTGGTAGCATTCAACTGCACATATTTTAAAGGCTTCTTCAGAGGTATTTTTAATGTTACTGATTAAGATACAGTACACAATATACTGTGCAGAACTGTTCATATACTATGCACAGTATAATCAACTGGAAATATCTTAAAGATTATTATGACATATGTTGAATGATACGAAGTTTTCTTTAGTTAGATTTAGATAGAAGGGAATTAAAATTATTGGAATTGAAGTAATAAAATTGTACTGATCTCCCCCCTTAAACGAAACGGGGTAAACTTGATATTTTTGAAACTTTATATTATCCAACCATATCGGAAGGTGAAGACTTTTCAATATTCAAACACTTGAATCGTTTGGCATTGAAATGGATGACATCATTTCCACTGTAAGAAACTGCTGGAGACGCACTGGCGTACTCAGCCTGACTTGGAGATGTCCAGCGCTTGAATGCATGTATAAATAGTTGGTCCAGACATCCTGCAAATACCTGTGGGAGTTAATTTACTGTGTGAATCGCATAATTTGCTCCGTTTCGTTTAAGGGTGGAAATCAGTAGTGATGGCCACTCCAAACAGTGATCATTGATATTCCGAAATATAGATTTTATCAAAGCATTGGAAATGCTTGGAGCAACGATACAAATATCTATTTATAAAAGCAAATAAGTATCATACGTTCAAAGTACCTCTGAATAAGGTTGAAATTCTATAACAAAATTCCTCGAATAATATCAACTAACCAAGGGTTTCATTGCTGCGGTAATAGTTTTATCCAATCATATCAATTTTGTCATCGTTTTGGGCAAGAAGTTCGGCAAATCATTGATTGTTTACGCTATCACCGAATGGGCCACTGAATTTGTATATACCTTTGTACACTAGTATGGATAATTCTCCTATAAATCAGATATAGCTTGATATAATTGATGAAACACTGTGAAAATCAATCTTCATAGAACTTATTTGCTGTACTACGTAGTACTATTAATACCTACTAAGTAGTAGTACTAAGTAGTAGTACTACGTAGTAGTTGTACGGTACTATTAACTGTTAATAGTAGTACTAATACTGTATTACTACTGTAGTAGTACCTTGTACTGTACTGTAGTATATACAGTGTCAAATATCGTCCTTTACAGTACCAGGTACTGTACTGTAGTACAACGTAGTATACGTATAGTAATCATTAACTGTAAGCTTACTCTATGCGGTATCAAATTTTGTCCTTCTACTACTCCTAGTAGTACTCGAAAAAGTACTGGCATCATGCTCTCATCGGATGTACCAGTCCTTCCTTTGAATGCAAGGTTAACTGAAAATTACTCCATTCTGTACATCCGCGTGGACTACGTACTTCACTTGATTATCATAGTACTGTACGTACAATACTATGTACTGTAGTGAACTCAGGAAGAGTACAGTAGTACTCTACAGATTAATAAGTCAAATTAGACCATTGTTGATTACATTCCAGAATTACTGTAATTACTATCCTTTGGTCTAAATAGTGCATTGGATATCTTGAGATAGTATAATATGACGCATTTTGACAGTTACGTTGAACTTGATTAAAGTATGTATTGATTATTTTGACGCATTTGGACGACTTGATTAAAGTATGTGTGCACATTGTATACCGCTTACGCTTTGGGCGCAGTCTCCCTGTGAATCGTCCAATTACTCCGTGATTCGTAGTGCGCACTACTTTTGTAGTATCGTCAAATCCCTCTATTGATTTTGTATGGAAGAGTAGTCCTGTTT